GTCTCTTTTAATAACACAATGAACAATAAATATGTACCGTATTCACCTTCATGGAAAAATAAGATGTCCCCTGAAAATATGACCTAGCGCATCTTTGGGAGTAAAAATTAATATAAGACACTGTCTTATTATCGGGGAAACAGGGTAATTATATATTGTGTAATATTTATTTCTAATTACAAATAAATGAAATTTTGTCTTGAAGCATAGTGTAGCATGGGTAACAGTCTTCACACTGGCTACTCATATGTGGGCATATCTGCATGTGGGTAGACCTGCCTGGAGACTGAGTGGTGTCTGGGTTCCTAAGACCATTGGAAATATGTGTTTTCTGATGATGTTAGGTGACCCCTGTGAAAGGGTCGTTTGACCCCCAAAGGAGGTGGACCCACAAGTTGAAAACCGCTGTAATATAGATGGTTCAAGAATCACTTTTACTGTCAAAAGAACAAACATTTTGGAAGAGGTTCAGTCTTAATGCTCCTTGAAGGCAAGAATGGCTAGAATTTGTCTGACATACTTGGAACAAGTATCAGGAGAAACCAGTCATAGAGAAGAATATCTTGCTTGGTAAAGTGGAGGGGCAAACAAAAAGAGTAAGGCTGTCCATGAGATGGATTGACACAGTGTCTGCAAGGAGGAGCTCAAAGGTAAGAAAATTGAGAGTATGGCACAGGATTTCTTTCTGTGGCATTTCTTTCTTCTGTACATAGGGTTTCTATGGATACCTAACAACAACAGTAACAACAACATAGATCATACATATATAATTCCTGTCCTGATTATCATACACTATATAAATCTAGATTACTATCTCTAGGCGTTTGTTACATTTTCTGATTTGTCCTCCTCACCATTATATTTCAGACCAGTACTATGTTTAGTACTGGTTAGTATGTTAGGAACTCATTTAATAGAAATGGAATAATTTTAAATTCATGGAAAATACGCAAACCATGTAAGTGTACTCTTTCTCCATATGCTAAATTGACAATCCCTCCGCCGTCTTCTAATTTATAGTGAGTATAATATAATCATATTACTAGATTTTTTACTAATTATCTTTGCACATGATATTGGATCTGGACAGATAAGTCAAGAAAAATATTCAATGTATAATTTGAGACATCTATTTTCAATAATTTTTACAAGGTCTTACATTTCTTTCAAAGCCAAATTCAAAACCCAATACTGATAATGAACTATATATAATATATGCATATACATTAAGTTAACTAATAAAAAATATGTGAGCAGTTAGAATCTTCTGGGTAATATTATGGCACTAATATTGTTTATCTGAAATTCCTTAAAGGCAGCATCACATGGATAAATCTACAGAGTGACTTTGAATTCCAGTGGGTTTTGGACTATAATTTTTCTGCTAATCTTACTTGAATCATTGCTCTGAGATTAAATCTTTTGGGACTGAGGCACTGACAAAACCATGTGATTCATTGCTATCCAGCCATTCTGAGAAGTTTTATCTAGCTAGGGAGTCAAAAAGATTTTATTTCAAAATGGTAAAATTTATTCATTTTAGGGATAAATTAATCAAAAATAGCTGAAGAGAAACATGTTTAAATGATATAGATTGAATTTTATAGGTTGACAATTTTGAATTTGAAGTGTATTTTTTAAATAAAGATAACATTTGTATCCTCTTTCATTTCAATTTAATGTGTGATTATGTGCTATGATATAACAATAGTTGATATAAGATTGAAATACACAAAACTCCTAGCATTAGGAAAAGTTAGGCGCTTAGTTGACTAGATTATTTTCTATGTCAAAACTTACAATAGTTAGATATTTTGCCCAATATTAGTAAGGAGTACGTTGCTTAGCAATAAATTCCTAGAGATTTTGTTAAAGTTTATACTTTCAGAATGAAGGAAAGGCATATTCTAATATTATTACAAAAATTCCTCTTTAATTTTCCTTTGCCTAGAATCTAGAAGAAACTACAATAAAGAAGCAGTGAAAACAGGATGGCTCTCAACCACCAAGTGCCAACAGTGTATCAGGAGAAGCAGTATGGATACATATGATTGATATAAATGTAAGAAGAAATTTAAATGAGGTTTGTCAACATTTCTAGAATATAAGCATGATGTTATCTCAACATGAAGGAAAAAATCTCAATGATTCTATCTGAACTCGTGAAGAAAACAAAATTTTCTTTATAGAAGAGGTTATATTTAGATTACTAGATTCCTTACAACTGACCAGTTTTCTTGATGGCAATGGCATTGTCTCAAATAGAAAGTAATCATGTACAAATTGATGACGGTAACATATGTAAAAATATGCTTGACACAATTGATGTGTGGATTGTTATAAGAGCTGAAAGAACCACCAATTAAATGATCTATTTTTTTAAACAGGAACATGCATACTAATATTAAGATTTATTAGGATTGTCTTAACACGTGATTATGTTTGATACCCACACCCCCGTCAGAAAGACTGATAACCATACTATTAAATTAGCTTTTTAAAGGCATAAAATTTAAATAAATAAATAAATGTAAAAAGGAATCCTGTAGTTAATGAATGGAGCCAAATCATATTGATCTAATCAAGATTGTCCAGTGGTTGGAGAGACTTCCTGAAAGTGGAATTATAAATATATTCTGGGGCTATTTTTTGTGAGCATTTATATATGTTTTCCAACATATTTCACAGTCTACTTTCAATATAAAGTAAAATCACTTGCATTCTAAAAATCTCTCAATTATTTGTGTTTTGGAAGTGAACACAAATAATGAAGAGGAAAGGAGAAAAGAAAAATAGAGAAAAGTTGTATAAAACTTTCTTTCCAGTCTTACCTATAATATGTTCGTTCACTATCTTCAGCTCTACTTCAGCTTCTAAGTAGTTCCTGAACATTGATAGGTATCAAAATACATTATTGAATAAAAGAACGGATATATGACTAACTTACAACACCATTCTAAAGAGTTAGCAGTTAGACATATCAAGAGAAATTGTAAGGACAGAAAATGTACAGTCTTGGTTAAAGATCAGAATGAAGGATATTGCTAGGAATTATCTATAGGACAATGAGCCATTGTGACACTGTTGGGTAAGCATAAGACCACTAACCATAAGCTCACTAGTTCAAAACCACCAACTGCTCAGAGAGAGAAAGGGAAGACTGTTCGCTTAAAGCTTTATAGCCAGGAAAATTGATTCTGAATGGACTCCATAGGTAATTATCTTATTACTTATGCTAGTAAAAATAATCATGGTGTATGATGGTCTAAACTGGGGCTCCTTAACTGTATCTATAGCTATGAGTAGATAAATAAAATTTATTAGATCTTGACAAGCATTATTAGGATAAAATAAAATAGACTATATTGCAATCTCACTCATTGCCATACAGTTGATTCCAACTCTGAGTGACTCTATAGGACAGGGTAGAATTGTCAGTGGATTTCTGAGACTATAACTCTTTACGGGAGTAGAAAACCTCATCTTTCTCCTGAGGAGGGGCTGTTGGATTCGAGTTGCTGAACTTGTGGTTAGTTGGCTAATTGGTAACTACTGCATTACCAGGGCTGCATGTTGCAATAGAACATATTGTAATAGGACATATAAATATGCATGTCGGGTGATGAGATCATTAGTCTGTATATATTTGTTAATTTCATGTCATCTGGTAACAAGTGTCTCCTCCCACCACCACTGGGTTTGGGGACTAAATCATTTTGAGTCAAGAAGCAAATCTAGGGAATAGTTTTTTCTGAGCAACCTTAGAAACAAAAAAATCACTTTTATCACTTTTTTGGTCCCCTTATTCTTTTATGTTTCCTTTAAATTTGACTTTTATTGGTTTTAGATGGAAATTACACATTTGGGATTAATGGATTCCTTATACCCTTCAATTTTCATGTAGCTAACGTTGTACTCAAGAAATCATAAAAGATAGAGTAGAATTACCACACAGGATTTTTAAGGCCTAGTGCTCCTGTAACGATTTCTGCCTCAAAAACCCTAGCTGAGAGTTGCTATGAGTCAGAACTGATTCATTGGAAATAAGTTCAGATTTTCATTTGGAATTTTTATAGAAGCAAACTGCCTTATCATTCTCCTAGAAGGCAAGTGGTGTTTATGAACAGCTGACTTCCCAGTTAGCAGCTAATGTTTGTTTCACAAACCATCGGGGTTCTTAAAATTCAGAATAAATCTAAATTGATACATTATTTTATTTGCATAATAGTTACGCTTACTGTGATTTAAATATTATATAAAGTTATATGAGTTTTAATAAGACATATTTGTTTTTCTTTTTATTTTATTTTTAAAAATTTGTTTTGGTTTTCTTTTTTCATATGTAAAATCAATAGAGGAGAGAATAAAGGAGAGAGATGGCATGTAACATCTGTATATGAATAGCTAGAACCCTAGTTTTATATTTATTATATTTTCTTAAGGTAAATTATACTTAATCAATACTTAATTTAGAGTTAAAATGAATAAGAAATAAGATGTCCAACTTATTAACAGTAAGAAAACAAGAGCTCATATGATAATATAATTCAAACATGTCTCTTTAATAAATGGAAAAAAGTTAAAACTGAAAAATTGATTTTCATAACCTCTTAGAAGCATATGTCAACTTTACTGTAATTTTCAATATATTTAAAATTATTTAGGCTTTATTCACTTTGATTAAGTATGAGCATGCTTTATATGTAGAGTTGCTTATGTAGCATTACATCAAGCAAACCTGAAAATAGTTTTGTGTTTCCAACATCACAAATAATAGGATATTGAGCGCATAATGATAAGGTATGTGGACTCCTGGATCTAAACATACATATGTGAAAACCACATGTGTGTCACACCATATTGCTCTATGAGAACAATCCCTATATTAGCAACAGGACTCTGTACAAACTATTAAGGTGAAAAAAATCTTTTATCAAGATGGTAAAATAGATTTAATATTTTTTTCTCTTCTTCCACATGCAGATACCTTGAAGAGATACATGGCTCCCATAAATTGCACCCAGGTGACAGAGTTTATTCTTGTGGGCCTCACAGATCATCCAGAATTGAAGATGCCTCTCTTTGTGATATTCTTATCCATCTACCTTTTCACAGCAGTAGGAAACCTGGGTTTGATCCTGGTCATTAGGACAGATGCAAGACTCAAGACACCAATGTACTTCTTTCTAAGCAACCTGGCTTTTGTTGATTTCTGTTATACTTCTGTCATTACTCCCAAAATGCTTGGAAATTTCTTGTACAACGTAAATATTATCTCCTTCAATGCGTGTGCTGCTCAATTAGGCTGCTTCCTTACCTTCATGATATCAGAGTGCTTGCTGCTGGCCTCCATGGCCTATGACCGATATGTGGCCATTTGTAACCCACTCCTGTATATGGTCACAATGTCACCAGGAATCTGCCTTCAGCTTGTAGTTGTCCCCTATAGCTATAGCTTCCTGATGGCATTCTTCCATACCATCCTCACTTTCCATCTTTCCTATTGCCATTCCAATATTATCAATCATTTCTATTGTGATGATATGCCTCTCCTCAGGTTGACTTACTCAGACACTCACACCAAACAACTATGGATTTTGGCCTGTGCTGGTATTACATTCATTTCCTCTGTTCTGATTGTCTTCATCTCCTACATGTTCATTCTTTCTTCCATCCTGAAGATGAGATCAGCTGAGGGAAGGCAAAAAGCCTTCTCCACTTGCAGTTCTCACATGTTGGCTGTCACTATATTCTACGGGACTCTGATCTTTATGTACCTACAACCGAGCTCAAGCCATTCTCTTGATACAGACAAGGTGGCCTCTGTCTTCTACACAGTCATCATTCCCATGTTGAACCCCTTGATCTACAGCCTTCGAAACAAAGATGTGAAGGAAGCTCTAAAGAAAACTGTCAGCAACAGAAACCAGGTGCTTGTATTCATAGGAATAAGAAACTGACGTGAATTAACAAATGTAGACTTTCTTCCACTATGTGCTTTTGAAAATGTTTTGTCTGTTCCCCACCTTCTCCTCCCATTAATAAAATAAGCACATTTGCTTTGGTGTTATTGATAAAGATCTGTTGCTGACATAATTTAAAAAAATCCTTGCTTTTCGTGCGTTAAAATATTTCCTATGTAGAAGTTAAAATAAAAATTAACATTAAGTCCATTATTTCTCAATAAAATACGTGTTTTATTTGAAATAATAATATGTATTATGTATTATATTTTCCATAGACACACAGGAGGTGCTAACCAAAGTTAAAATTTGCAGACAGCTTCAATGGTTAAATATAGTATTCTAAGAGTGGTATAATAATATAATCAAAATTAAAACCCAAGAGTCAACTATAAACCACTCAGAGTGACATTTCCCCCCAAGGAATACTGGATAATGCTTTGAAACACTTTTGGCTGTACTATAGCTTGATACTATGGCTATATGGAGAGTTGAGCCCTAGCATGTCCAGAAAAGCCCCGCACATAAATAATTATCCAGTCCAAATGACACAATTGCCAATTAGTTAAGCCATTCTGCCTTAGGGTATGATTTCCTAAACGATTCTTGATACAGGGAGATTTCTATAGGTTTTATACATATCGAACTCATTGATACTGTCATTCAAGTCTTCTTTACCCTCTTTGGTTTTCACTTTATTAATTATTAAAAACGATGTGTTAAAATCCCCAATTATCAATGTTCAATTGTATCTTTCATTTTTCGCAAATATCACTTCTAGTTAATATATGTGGGGGTTCTTTTGTCAATTATGTATGAATTTATAATCACTAAATCTTATTTAGGTCCTGATAATATATAGGTTACAAGTTGGTCTTTGATCCACACGGTTCGCATTTTGAAACTGCCAGCCACTCCAAGGGAGAAATATGCGACTTTCTACTCCTGTAACAGTTAACAGTCTCAGTAACCCCCAGGGGCAGTTGTACCCTTTCCCGTAGGGTCACTATGAGTTGGCTTTGACTTGATGGCAGTGAATTTGGTTTGGGACTTAAATCTTTGTGTAATTTGGTTTTTGGAGTGTTTTCCATCCTCAGTTAAATACTTGCCTTTCTGCATTGATAAACAAAAACCACCTCTACATTTGAAAACACAAATATGACTTCAATTACCTTCCTTATCTTCCCACCCACCCATATTTTGGCAGTGTAGTGGCATATTTCTAGTTCCCTATGAAGCATGCCATTTCTTAATCAAAATTGATATATTGTTCTTGGACATCCTTACTAGGGCCACAGATTTGCATGAGAAACCACCCTGAAAAGGTGCTTCTCGGATAGTTCATCGAGGAAGGTAAATAATAACAGAGAGTGGAAACCCAAATGAGGAAGTAAATGTGCGATGACCATTTCAAAGAGGAAGTTTTAAAAAAATGGTATTTCTTACAATACCAGGAGTAGTTTGTTGGCGGAATTGGACATCCATCCCTTGCAAATTATGTTAAAAATACTTTCAAAAGGTAATTTTTGTTTTCAATGACACATTCAAACTCTGTTACAACAATAACAATATGCTTAAGTAAAACCTCAGTCAATAAATAGTATTTAAAAATTGGGGCACAATAGGACAATAATGTGATACTGAAAACAATGCTGCAGACATACCCTTTTTCATAACTGGAGAATAACATTAATTAATCTCCAACCTGCCTTGGGTCCCCAGTGGGGTGAAAAATGTAATTTTTCTGATGGTCCCACTTGCATCATGTCCTCATGATCCTTTGGGACATTCACTGACAAAACTCTGCAGTTTTTTGCCTTCCAAACTCAGTTGGAGAAGAAATAGGAGCACCCTCTACCTAGGTAGGTCAGAGACTGTATACATAATGCAATTGGGGTGAAGATAAACTTTTTAGTACTGAAGCAGAACATAAAAGGATTTTCTTTGATATTATTTTTAAAGAAAAAAATATTGTGAATTGGGTAAAGGTTTACCAAGCAGATTGTCAATTTTACATTCAACAATTCATATACCTATTGTTTCTACACACCAATTGCAATATCATTTTTGCACCATCATTAATCCCAGTTCTTCCCTGCGTTTTTGTCTGTTTGGTTTTTTTGTGTCAATTAGGGGGGCATTTTTCATTTCAGTTCTTAAATTGTGTATTCAAGGATTTAAACCAATTATCAAAATACTCAGTAGCTAACCTTAAACCCGTCCTTAGATTTCTCTTCTTCCCCTTGTGGATAACTGTCTTCCCCTTCCCTCAATTAATGGCTGTGAAGGCCCTAGCCTATTGTTTCATCTGCCTCCCCTTGTCCTCCCTACTTGTCTATGCCCTTTTGTCTGAAAGTCTTTGTCTTAGTTTTTTCCTTATAACAATGGTCTTATACAGTATTTGTCCTTTGGTGACTGACTAACTGTATTGAGTATAATGTTCTCCAGGTCAATCCACGCCACCAGGTGTGTAGATAGCATTGTGTGCATGCACCAAAGTTTCTTTATCTGCTCTATTGATGGGAATTTAAGTTGTTTCCGTCTTCTTGCTGATGTGAACAGTGCTGTGATAAACATGGGTGTGCATATGTCAGTTCTTGCTACCACTCTTACTTCTTTTAGGTATATACCCAATGGAAGGATTGCTGGATTGTATGTAATTCCTATTAGCAGTTGTTTGAGGTAGAGCAATATCGTTTTTCATACTGGTTGTCATTTATGTCTCACCAGCTATGTAAGAGGGATCCAATCTCTCTGCACCTTCTCCAGTATTTGATGTTTTAAGGGTTTTAAAATCTTTTTTTGAAAAAATAAAATTAATTTAAATTATAATCAATCCCTGGATTACCAGTGAGATCCAATCTTAAGGTGGTCCTTAAATCTAAGGGAAATTTTAAGACAAATTTGGCCGCTGTTGGTGGTGTAAGGTGGTTTCTAGTCGTGGCTTTGATTCGCAGCTCCCAGATGGCTTCTTCATGTGGTTATTACCCATTTGGCTGGAATAACATTAATTTTTAGCAAGTACAACAATTGAACCAACCTGTCTTTACAATCAATTCTTCATCACAGGCACCTTTACTTGCTGTACTCATAGCTTTTAAGTCATGTAAAAGGCTGTAAGTCTCTTCTTGCACTAAAATTTTAAAAAAGAAACAAACTGACTTCCCTTGAGTCCATTTTGACTCAAAGCAATACTAGAGGAAAGAACAGAGCCGCCCCCGTAAGGTTTCCCAGGCTCTAAATCTTCAGGTAAACAGATTTCCCTCTCTTTCTTCTGCAGAGACAGTGCTTGGTGAGTTCAATCTACCAACCTTTCGGTTAGCAGCCCACTGCTTAGCCAGTGGTGTCACCAGAGATCATTTCTGGTATTAAAAAAAATAAAAGAGGAAATCTTTGATGAGTCCATTTTAACTCAAAAGGTTAAAAAAATGCACGTTATGACTTGCCTAAAATTTGTCTTAAAAGCTTTCTTAGATTAAAGGACCAACTTAAAAATGGATCTCCTTGGTAAACCAGGAACTGCTTGCAAGTGAAATAAAATATTGTAATTGGAAATTTCTGAAGTCAGGATTGTGTTTCTGGTAACCATTTTGTATATAACTATGTATGATTACGAAAACTATATTTTTTATTATCTTGATATAACAAAAAATTCTTGAAAGCTCAAGGATAGAAACTTTTAGGAATTTTGAGAAAGTTGGGAATTTGATTAACTAGATTATAATCTATGGCAAAACTGTCCTTCCCCATTGGACCTCCACTCAAATACTTACTCAATGAAAACATTTGTTCTATTAAATTGGCATTCCATGATGCACACCTTCCCGATATGATCACTGAAGACAAATATGTGCTTAAGAAAATGTGGTGAAGAAAGCTGATGGTGCTAGGCTATCAAAAGAGATAGCATCTGGGGTCTTAAAGGCTTGCAGGTAAACAAGCATCCATTTAGCTCAGAAGCATCAAAGCCCACATGGAAGAAGCACACCAGTCTGTGTGACCATGAGGTGTAGAAGGGACCAGGAATCAGACATCAAAGAACAAAAATTCATATCAGTGGGTGCTCAAATTTCTGATATGATCACTGAAGACAAATGTGTACATAAGCACATGTGGTAAAGAAAGTTAATGGTGCCCAGATATTGAAAGATATAGCATCTGGGGTCTCAAATGCTTGAAGATAAGCAAGTGGCCATCTAGCTCAGAAGCAACAAAGCCCACATGGATGGAGCACACCAGCCTGTGTGACCATGAGGTGTCGAAGCGATCAAGTATCAGGCATCCAAGAACAAAAAATCATATCATTGTAAATGAGGGTGACTTCAGAGTGGAGACCCAAAGCCCATCTGTAGGTAACTGGACACCTCCTTCCTGAAGGATCACAGGGAGGAGATGAGCCTGTCAGGGTGCAGGGTAGCAACGATGAAACATACAACTTTAGTTCTTAAATGCATCCTTCCCCCACTATCATGATCCCAATTCTACCTTACTAATCTGGCTAGACCAGAGGATGTACATTGGTACAGATAGCAACTGGAAACACAGGGAATCCAGGACAGATGATCCCTTCAGGACCAGTAGTGAGAGTGGTGATACCTGGAGGGTAGAGGGAAGGTAGGGTAGAAAGGGGGAACTGATGACAAGGATCTACACATAACCTCCTCCCTGGGGGATGGACAACAGAAAAGTGGGTGAAGGGAGACATCAGACAGTGTAAGATATGAAAAAATAATAATTTATAAAATATCAAGGGTTCATGAGGGAGAGGGGAGCAGGGAGGGAGGGGGAAAATGAGGAACTGATATCAGGGGCTCAAGTAGAAAGCAAATGTTTTGAGAATGATGATGGCAACAAACATACAAATGTGCTAACACAATGGATGTATATGTGGATTGTGATAAGAATTGTACGAACCCCCAATAAAATGGTTAAAAAACAACAACAAAAACAAAACTGTCCTTCCCATCCTTAAATTTTTTTTATTAAAATGTTAATGAGTTATACAGATTGAGAGTTGGGTACATTTTAATTGAATCAGTTACACATATTTAAATATATTTGCAATAGGTAGATTATCTTAATTATAAACAAGGATAAACATTGAAATATCAATACAAATGTTTATCTTTGATTTCCTCTTACTAAACAACTAAAATGATGTTATGGTAAGAACAAAAAAGCCATTCCTCCCCAGTAGAGTCTACTGAGAGAAGCATGAAAACAGATAGTTGCCATAAATATATAAAAATAACAGATAGTAATTGAAAATGAGCATTAGAAAACCATGTGATCGTCACAAAAAAGATGAAATTTTAGCCAGCCTTTGATTCAGAAATATATAGGGGTTTTCCCTTCAACTGTCCATTTGATATAAAACAAAATGACTTATTAAGGTTCTTATATCTACCAAAGAGAGAAGCCTCACCCGGTATCTTGAGAATTGGCTATAATTTACATCAAACATTACGCTAATCTTTAAGAGGGGGATTATCTCTGTTTTACATATCTACAAACAGGATAAGAATGTTTGAATAATTTGGCTAAAACCAAACCAAAAAAAAGCACTGCCTCAAGACAATTCCACTCTGCTCTGCTAGGACAGAGTAGCACTGCTCCATAGGGTTTGGGTTTTCAAGACTGAAAATCTTCATGGGTGCAGACAGCTTCCTCTTTCTTCCACAGAGTGGCTGGTGGATTCAATCACCACTACATCACTGGGGTTGTTCGATTTAACCAAGGCTGCTCAACGACTTGTGTATGGCATTGCGGACACCTGAATTCCTGTCTTACACTGGTACTTTTTATTGTTATGCCACACTGCCTCTTTTCTATGAAACATCACCAATATCATGAAATAAATATGGTTAATATAGTTTAAGTGGAAAAAAATCATAATGCATGAATCAACTATAGGCAAGTAAGATATGATGCTAGAAAGAGTTTAGAAGAGAAGGTGCAGTATAGTTCAGCAAGTATGATTTGAGGATCCACTGAATGATTAGCAGTGTATTAGAAAAACAAAAGGCAATCATGTGTCTTTACTCATGTTACATTTCTATGGTTTTGATTCAGTGTCTTATCAAACATATATCTGCATATCTGTATATCCTTGTGTAAGCTTAAATATATGTTTAAGGATATATGTTAATGAATGTATATACATTTTTCCTCTTAATATAAATGTAGAATAGAATTATTGGTTCAAGTACTACTTTCAAGGAAAACATGACACTTTCATGAGAAAAGAAATGAAAGAAATATTCAGAGAAACTAAGCATATTTCTGCTAAGTGACACTTTTACTTTAGTAGTCATAGCCATCATTTGTAATGAAGTGAAGATGGAAAGTATTCGTGCATACTGCTCATAAATCTAGATAAGTGTATTCATATCTCCAGATAATTATTGTATTTTTCTGAATATATAAAAATGTATATGCATATAGATATGGCTTATATAATCTGAGAACAGGTTCGGTTCGAGAGTTTTTAACTTGCCATGTGCAATGAATTTGTGAGGAGAGAAATATGATGTGCTAGTCTGGGTTGACTAAAGAAACAAATTCAAGGACACTCATGTGTATGAAAAAGATTTACATACAACAACAGTTGAATATAGAGAAAACATCCCAGCTTAGTCCAGATCGAGTTTATAAGTCCAATATTAGCCCAGATGTCCGATACCAATCTATAAAGTCCTCTTCAGACTCACAAAACACATACAATGATGCCAAATGCAGAGGACCACAGGCCGTGGGTTGGAAGTCTTATGGATCCAGTGGCATGGTAAGCATTTCAGTGATGGCAGGGGTCTCTCCAGCTCCAGAGGTCAGGTTGCATGAGAGTAGGTCCATGTGGCTTCTCCAGTTCCCAGGGCATAGGACATGTGTCTTCTCAGTAGATCCTCTCCAAGGGAATGAGCTGAGAGAGAAGTGTCTCCCTTGTCCAAGGAGGAAATACAGGATTTCCCAGGCCATACCCACACAAAGGCTCTTTGGCTATATCCAGATTGACAGCTAGGCTCCTACACTCTTAATCCTCAAATTGACACCAGATTATGTAACTACCACATATGCCTTTACTGAAAATGTTTTCATTGATTCCCGGAATCATTCCAAGACTTTGAGTATGCTAATATTCTTCATATTAGTGCATTCATATTGACACTAAAACTCTATTCAGGGTACTATATCAAATGACTATACAAACAGCGACTTGAATTTAACTCTCCTCTCCTTTTCCCCATTCAGATGTGTGGAGGAGACATATGGCTCCGATAAATTGCACCCAGGTAACAGAGTTTATTCTTGTGGGCCTCACAGACCGTCAAGAGTTGAAGATGCCACTGTTCCTGATATTCTTATCGATCTATCTTTTCACAGTATTGGGAAACCTGGGTTTGATCCTAGTCATTAGGTCAGATGCAAGACTCAAGACACCGATGTACTTCTTTCTTAGTAACCTGGCTTTTGTTGATTTCTGTTACTCTTCTGTCATTACTCCCAAAATGCTTGGCAATTTCTTGTACAAAAAAAATGTTATCTCCTTCAATGCGTGTGCAGCTCAGTTAGGCTTTTTCCTGGCTTTCATGACCGCTGAGTGCTTGTTACTGGCCTCCATGGCCTATGACCGATATGTGGCCATTTGTAACCCGCTCCTGTATATGGTTGTGATGTCCCCAGGACTCTGCTTTCAGCTCGTAGCTGTCCCCTATAGCTATAGCTTCTTGGTTGCACTCTTTCACGCCATCCTCACCTTCCGTCTCTCCTATTGTCATTCCAATATCATTAATCATTTCTACTGTGATGACATGCCCCTCCTCAGGCTGACGTGCTCAGACACTCACACCAAACAGCTGTGGATCTTTGCCTGTGCAGGGATCATGTTCATTTCTTCCCTTCTGATTGTCTTTGTTTCTTACATGTACATTATTTCTGCCATCCTAAGGATGCGTTCTGCAGAGGGAAGGCGCAAGGCCTTCTCCACCTGTGGTTCACACATGTTGGCAGTCACCATTTTCTATGGGACCCTGATATTTATGTACTTGCAACCCAGCTCAAACCATTCTCTTGACACAGACAAGATGGCCTCTGTCTTCTATACAGTGATTATTCCCATGCTGAACCCTTTGATCTACAGCCTCAGGAACAAGGAGGTGAAAGAGGCCCTGAAGAAAGTTGCTGTCAGTAAAAATCGGGCATTTTTATTTATAAGATTAATAAAGTGATGTGGCTAGATAAAAGTAAACTCTGCTTTATGGTATTTTAATTTTTCCTATTCCATAAGCAGCTCATCCACTGAAGATGATTTGATTCTGACTCACAGAGACCCTACAGGACAGAGTAGAACTGATTGTGAGGCCTTGTGATACTACAAAGCTTTATGAGACTAGACAGTCTTATCTTTCTCCTGCCAAGCAGCCGGTGGGTTTGAACCCTTCATTGTGCTAGCAAACTCCAAGCCTACCTCACTGCCATCAGTCGACACTGACTCATAGCCGCCCTTTAGGATAGAGTAGAACTGCCCCTGTGAGTTTCTGCGACTTTCATTCTTTAAGGAAGTAGAAAGCCCCATCTTTCTCCAATGGAGTGGTTAGTGTTTTTTAATTGCTGGCCTTGTGGATTGCAGCCTAACTTGTAACCACTCTGACACCAGGGCGCTACCAGGGTTCTTTAAATATGTAGCAGAACAACTGTTTTTCGTATGTTTGCTTGGTCTTTATAGATGATTATAATGAAGTGAAATTAATTTTCTATTCATAGCCTTTGTAACTCTGAAGGGATTGGTAAACTTGACTATTCCGCTGAATATAAAGTGAGATGTTTCAGAAGCAGAGATAATCCCAGAACCAATAAGAGTAAAATGGCAGAAATGAAGAACTCCTGATCTTCCTGCCTGGAGAGGTGGCAGAGACACAGCACCAAGTCCACAAGGCAGAGCAGAAGGCTTGTTGGCCCATGGAATGAGTAAAAAGAGCACCTTGGGAGAATAGATTTCAGAGTGGGGTACTCTGTGAGCATTTAACTGTACTTGAGGAGCTTTATAACTCTTGTCAGAGCAGGACAAAGGCCACAGAGCCACATGGTGAAAGGCTGAGATTTAGGGGGACAGGGGCCTGCTGAAGATACACTGCTGTAGACAAGAACAAAACCAACAATACCACCACCAACAAAACTGTATCCTTAATATTTTCTGAGCCTGACTTGCTGGGACCTAAACTTCCCTCACAAAATCCCATAATTTTATTTGTGAGTCCTGCATGGTCATTGTGAGGGATTTTTAAATCCAACAGGGAAGAAGAATATCATGGAAGAGAAGGTTGGCTCTGTCCTATTGGACCGAGAAAGCTGGAAGGAGGAGGCATTTCTGACTTCCACCTCCTACAAATTATCCTTGCACAGATGCAGAGTTGAATTCTCCTACTCATAGCAGATGTAGCAGTCACTCCATAAGGGATATATATATATATTGCACAACAATTATTTTCTATGGACTTTCACTTAAAAAACAAGATTTCACATATAGAAGAAACCATAAGAACTATAGCCATTCATTCATTCCTCAGTTGGAAAAAATATTCAAAGATAATTATTCCCTGTTCCATAAATTAAGTTTCTAATTTATGACATGCATAATATAGAAAAAAATAATGAATTATCTTTTTTTTTTAATTTATATAGATGTATTTATTAAATTTCAGCCAGGACAAAGAGAAAGTCACAATACAATGGTGAAGGAGATCAACAACATATAGGCATGTTGGCATCTAAGGGTTTACAGAAACATGGCCATTTACATAGGATGTGGAAGTACAAAGGAAACAACTGTGGACATGGGAAAGGGATAATAATTGAGATGTATACACCATTCTAGAGAGGAAAGCTTAAGAAGATTGGTCCAGGGCCCTAAAACCAAGGCAGTTAGAATATGATAAATGATTATGCACATTCTAATAGCCCAAATTCCATGAAGGGCAGAGCCAGATAAGTCTTTATGAGCCAGGGGAGTCTTCCGTGGACAGGCTAGGAGTAATACTAGGAATAGTAGAAATCCACTTTCTAATACATTCTACCTGAGGACAAGTTATTCATTTTACACGATCCATCTGATATCCCTTGTTCCATATCATCTCCTGAAATTCTTTTTTTTTTTTTTTAATTTTTTTTAATCAATTTATTGAGGCTCATACAATTCATCACAATACATAGATCAATTGTGTAAAGCACATCTATACATTTGTTGCCCTCATCATTCCCAAAATTCGCTTGCCTCTAATTTTCCTTTTTTCCCCCCTCCCCTTCCCTTCCTCCTCCCCTCATGGGAAGAACTGGAAGGAATCATGCTAAGCGAGGTAAGCCAAAAGCAAAAGGACAGGTATAATATGAGTCCCCTGAGGTAAGTACAATCAGAATAACGGGAATTATCTTAACATACAGTTAAATACAGAAAAAAGGATAATAGTTCAGACCCTTATGATGTCACTTCATAATTCTAACATTGCTTGGAAATAAATTCCAAATGAAATGTAAAGACATTTGTTCCAGATAGTTTGAGTTTTTTAGTAATTTCCGAAGGTCTTTGAAATGTACTGAAACATCACATGAGTTCATATTTAACTAATCACCTTTATAAAGCAGAATAATGCTAAATTTAAAAATTTTATCTCTGACAGACACTTAAGTTCCACTGACGTAGAAGTCTAGTTTCAACTCTAAGGACTAACTTCATGAGTGACCTATGGTCTTTATGGCTTTGATCTTTCAGTGTAAACATTTTTCAAAATTATCTGAAACTAAAATGTAAATCAGAGAAAGAAACCCAAATACATAATAAAGTCTAAAAATTACATGCAGTAATTGAAACATTGTAGACCCTGAGAATGTAGTGGTTATGTCTTGGACTACAATTCACATCGTCAGTAGTTTGAAACCACCAGCAGGTGCGCAGGAAAAAGACTGAGCTTTCTATTCTTGTGAACAGTTACAGTCTCCCAAACCCACTGGGGGTCACTATGAGTCAGCATTAACTCAATGTCTGCGAGTTTGGCTTATTGGAGGCCATTTTTTCAGTAGCAAGAATTGTATACATTTATTCTCCACCATACATGGCTATGTTGATCACTACTGATTGAAAAACAGTTTGTAGTACAATGAATCCAAACTGCATGTAGCCTAATGAGAAGAAATTATATCTTGTAAGTGCAAGAATATAGTAATATCACAAACTCTATAATCTGTTATGAGTGGGCTCTCATTTAATAAAAGTTTACATATCCATTAAATCTGGTTAGTGCTATTTGCTACCATTTGTATATAATTTTGTCATATTATGGTGACGTGTGTGTGGTGATACTGGAAGCTATGCCACAGGTATTTCAAATACCATCAGTTAGCCAATATGGGCAAGTTTTAGCAGAGCTTCCAGACAAGAACAGATTACAAAGAAAGAAGAAGGAAGAAGGTCCACTTCTGAGAGTTAGCCACTGAAAACTTATGGATAAACATAAAAACATTGTTTTATACAGAAGGCCTAATGAATAGAGTACTATTTTCAAGATAGTGACAGAATATGACTCTTTAGGTCATAGTAGGACACTCAAAATTTGACCAAAGTGGAAGAACAGCCTTCTCAAAGTAGAGTCCACCAAAATGATGTGGATGGAGTACACCTTCAGGACCTTCATTTGCTGATGGAATACATGGAAGAAACAGTTGTAAACATCTATTAATCAAAATTTGGAATGTATGAAATATGAATGGAGGAAAATTGAAAGTAATCAAAATGAAATACAACACATAAAAATAAATACCCTAGGTGTTAGTGAGCTGAAATAAACTGGTATTGACCATTTTGAATCAGAAATGTCTATGGTTCACAATGGTGGGAATGACCCATTCAAGAGGAAGATCATTTAATCCAACACCAAAAAGGACAGTTCAAGATCTATCTTGAAGTCCAAAGCTGTCTATGACAGGATGATATCTATCCATATACAAGTAATTCAAATCATACAACTATTATTCAAATTGTTGCACCAACCACTAAAGCAAGTGATGAAGATACTAAAGAAGTCTACCAACATATTCAGTCTAAAATTGATCAAACATGCAATCAAAAGGTATCGATAATTATTGGCTATTGAAATGCAAAAAATTGGAAACAAAGAAGACAGAAGAGTCACGATAGAACTCTTCATGATATCTTCACGATAGAAACAAAGATGGAGATGGTATGATAGAACTTTGCAAGACCAACAACTGCTTCATCCCCAATACTATATTTCAGCAAAACAAACGGTGACTAGATGCATGATCTTCTGCACACGGACTATATAGAAATCAAAATGCCTCTATATGTGGGAAGAGATGATGGAGAAGCACACTAGCAGCACCTAAAACAGTGCCAGGGACTGACTGTGCAACAGATAATTAATTGTTCATATGCCAGTTCAGGTTGAATCTGAAGAAAATTAGAACAAGTTCTCAGGAGCTAAGATACAGCCTCAAGATCATCCTATCTGCATTTGAAAAACATCTCAAGAACAGATTTGATGCATTTAACACTAGTAATATAAGACCTGATCAGCTGTGGTTGACATTGGGAAAATTATACATGAAGACAGCAAAAGGGAATTAAATGGCCAAGAAAAAAAGGATCAAAGAGGATATCAGAAAAGGCTCTGAAACTTCCTCTTAATCTAAGCTAAGGTAAATGGAAGAAATGAAGTCAGAGAACTGAATTGAAAATTTCAAAGGGCAGCTCAGGAAGACAAAGGAAAGTGTAATGAAATGTGCAAAGACCTAGAGTAAGAAAACTCAAACAGAACATACTTCGCATATTTTAAACTGATAGAACTCAAGAACCAATTCAAGCCTTGAGTTGCAATCTTGAAAAATTCTATGGCAAATATTGAAAGATGCTGGAAGAATTGGAAGAAGTTATAAAGTATACACAAAATCTCAGTACCAAAAAGAAATAGTTAACATTCAACCATTTCAGGAGGTAACATATGATCAAGAACCAATGCTGCCGAAGGAAGAAGGTTAAACTGCACTGAAAGCACTAGCCAAAACAAGACTCCAGGAATTGATAGAATACTAATTGGAATGTTTCAACAGCTGATGAAGCACTGCAAACCCATACCAGTCTATGCCAGGAAATTTGGAAGATAGCTACTGACGGGAAGATATTCATGTTTGTACTCATTACAAAGAAAAATAACAGCAGAATATTCAAATGATCAAATAATATCATTCATATCACATACAAGTGAAACTTTGCTGAAGATCATCCAACAATGGCTGCAGCAGTATATTGACAAGGAGCTGCCAGAGCTTCAGGCCGGATTCAGAAGAGGATGTGGAACAAGGAATACCATTGCTAATGTCAACTTGATCTTGACTGGAAGCAAAGAATACCAGGAAGATGTTTACTTGTGTTTTATTGACTATGCAAAGACATTTGCCTCAGTGGGTCACCACAAACTATGGCTAACCTTGAGAACAATAGGCATTTCAGAACACTTACCTAGCTGTGCTCATGTAGAAGCTGTATGTGGATCAAGAAGCAGTTGTGTGAACAGCACCAGGGAATACGGCACAGTTTAAAAGCAGGAGAGGTGTGTGTCATGATTCTATCCTCTCACTCTACTTATTCAATTATAATACTGAGCAAATAATCAAAGAAGCTGGATTATATGAAGAAGAATGGAGCATCAGGAATTTGGGAAGGCTGTGGTAGACAGATGACACAACGTTGCTTGCTGAAAGTAAGGAAGACTTGAAGCACTTGCTGATGGAGATCGAGGATTGGAGCCTTCGGTGTAAAGAAAAGCAAAATCTTCACACATGGACCAGTGGGTATCATCAGGATAAACAGCGAAAAGACTGAAATTGTCAGGGATTTCATCTTGGCTTGTATCCATGATCAATCCTCATGAAAACAGCACTTAAGAGATCCAAGTATGCATCACATCGCATAGGGTCAATCTGCTACACAAAACCCCTCCAAGTGTTGGAAAACAAGGGTGCTAATTAGAGGATTAAGATTTGCCAACCTAAACTATGGTATTTTCAATAGGTCTATATGCATGTGGAAATGGGACATGCAAAAGAAAGACCAAAGAAGAATGGATACATTTGAATGATGGTGCTTTTAATGATTATTGAATTTTTCAGGACTGACTCAGAAGAACAAATAAATGTGTCCTGGAAGAAGTACAGGCAGAATGATCCTTGGAAATGAGGACAGTGAGACTCTGTCTCATGTACTTTGGATATGTTGTCAGCAGAGACCAATCACTGACAAAGGACACATCATGCATGATAAAGTAGAGGAACAGCAAGAAGAGGAAGACACAAGGAGATGAACTCAGCCAGGGCTGTAACAACAGGCTTAAGCATAATTCAAGCTTAACAATCTTGTAATTACTAGGGCTCTTTTTGTTATACATAAGTTTATACTTCTGTTGCCCATAAGTTCACTATGATTTGGGATGAGAAGGCAAATAATAGGAATGCTGGTGGTGCAGTGGTTAACCGCTGTGTTGTGATCTGCATAGTTGGCAGTTCGAAACCACAAGCAGCTCCAGGAGGGAAATATTGGCCTTTCTATTATGGTAAATAGTTACAGTCTCAAAAATCCACAGGGGATCACGCTGAGTCACCATTGACTCTCTGGCAGTGAATTTGGTTTGGCAGATGGGCTCTAACAAGGACAACACTCATGCAATTTACTGTTCATTTTGTGTAAACTGGGATGTTGAAAAGTCAAGTAGATACGCAAAAGGGAAGGAGAAATAGCATTTAGTTGAGACCCTCTTTGAATATGAAAATAAAACACTAAGAGATACCATTTTTCATTTATGAAGATTTTAAAATGTAAAACCTTGTGTTGACTGAAGGAATCTCCCAATACTCTTGGTAGAGATATAAAGTAATATAAAATATCAGAGTTCTTTATGTGGTTAAAGAATAAAGTTAATATTCTTTAAAATTAATCATTGCTGGGGTGAAATTTCTATCATGACAACACTGTGAACATTACTATAAGAAGAAAGCTTGAATAATATTTTATTTTATGTTTTTAAATTTAGTCTCAGTATTAGAAGCACATTTTTCTTTTCTTTTTTTTTTAATCAATTTATTGGGGCTCATACAATTCATCACAATACATAGATCAATTGTGTAAAGCACATCTATACATTTGTTGCCCTCATCATTCCCAAAATTCGCTAGCCTCTAATTTTCCTTTTTCCCCCCTCCCCTTCCCTTCCTCCTCCCCTCTCCCCCATGCACCCCTAATAATTTATAAATTATTATTGTATCTTATGTCAAAGCCAATCCAAATTTTATTCACACATTGTAACTTATGTACACCCACCTAGATAAGAGAAGTTGGACAAAGAAGCACATTTTTCTAGCCAAACAGTCTCACTATAGTGATTAGGAAATTTGTTTTATTAAAAATGTTTTTTGACAAAGTGCTGGAAAAATACAAAAGATCCACACACTGAACATTTGTCTTACATAAACTCATAATTGTAATATGAAAGCACAAATATAAAAACTTTCATAGTAATTGTCAATGGAAAGAGCAATTTTCAAATTACATTCTCAAGAGAGATCATTAAAAAGTTCCTCTCTTCTTGATTCCCACAATGAGTAAGAACCAAAATTTCACATGCTTTTCACATGCCTGCAATGCAAGTGGAATAAATTTGGTCCCTAAACACTAAACATTAATGATTGCCTGTTGTTGTCTATATTATTATGTTGTTTTTAGTTTTGTCCAGAGGGGCCAAAAATACATATAAAGTGGTATTGGTTGCACAAATAATGCTTTAAGGTGCATTGGAATATTCTGAAGTTTATTGTTGGATTGAAAGTGTTATTAAATATTAAAAGGCACACAGTAGTAGAAAAATGCACCTAACGTATCGTTGGGAGAAAGTCTTTGGAATTACACAAATATAACTTCTATACATTTCATCATTTAATAGAAAGTATAGTATTTCTCTTCTTTTTTGTATTGGATACTACCAGAGGTAGGTGATAAAAAGGATATAATTTAGAATCACTACTGCTTTATAAAGAATGTTGGAGCTTAAGGTGTGTTACAGGCCCATTCATAATTGTTTGCAATGTATTCTGACAAGCTTTGTGATAAAGGATTTAGTAGCTGCAAAAAAAGTATATAGGAGGAGCATCTGGTACTCTCTGGAAGGTAACAACAAGCCTTGAAGAAACAATGGTTCAACAAAATATAGAAAAATAGGTAGAGAAAGTTAGACACAGGAAATGGTGATAGAGAAAACCCTTCTGGGCAGAAGGTGAAGTATGTATAAATTCAGGAACCCATTATAATGACTAGGATAATTCAACATTTGTAATAGAGACAAGGGCACACAATTAACAATCGTTTTTACTTTATAATATTCTTATTAAAGGCTATAGAAGGAAAAGAAAGGGAAACACTTGACATGGGAAAAAAGAAAAAGCTCAAAAATAACATCAAACTCTGTGTGACGGAAAATAAGCAAGAACAGTGCCAATGAGTCAATTCCAAATCATAGCATTCCTGTATCAGGTTGACTAGCCTGCACATCTTTAAGGGGGAAGACAGTTTTCTCTTTGTCCCAAGGAACAGCTTGGGACAAATCAAGCTCAGTCTGAATCTTGTAGCTAGCAGCCCCATACCTAACCCCTCAATGCCATCAAGCACCTTACTAAACCGCATACCTAAAATGAACAGAATTCACATTTTTGTTTTTTTGTATCATGTTACATTTTCCATACTCAGCTCTAGTGATTCACAATTTGCTTCTGAATCAATATATTCAATCCATAATTTTATGAGTTACATTTACAACATGAGAGATCATTTTATGTATGTTATTAAGATCATGCGCATTCTTAATGTTACAATGCCCCCCTCCCTATTTTAAAAGAAAGCACAGCATAGGTTTTGCTTTCAATTGACTTTATGAATTATAATTGCCGCACTCTTCTTCCTTCTTTTACAATTCCCCAATGGACTGGACTGCCTGCCTGGACCAAGGCCCTTCACACTGACTGACACCAGAAGCAAGATCCATACAAAACCAGGATTCCACTCCAACTGAATTGAACATAATGCTCTGCTGATTCAGGGTCATCTTCTGATACATGAATTGATCAGTTTCTACAGGGTGAAGATTATTCAGCTACAGTGATTCTGGGGAAGTTGCTTGGAGCATAATTGTTTATCTGTTTCATGGCCAACGGCAATCATTCATCAGTCTCTGAGTTCATCCTGTTGGGACTCACAGATAACCCAAAACTCCAAGCCATTCTCTTCGGAGTCTTCCTAGCGGTCTACTTAGTGACTGTCGTGGGTAATCTTGGTTTGATTGTGCTCATTCAAGTTAGTCCTCAGCTCCACACACCCATGTATTTTTTCCTCTGTCATCTGGCATTTGTTGACTTTTATGGTACTTCCTCTGTTACCCCAAACACCCTAGTGAACTTTTTCCGTGAAATCAAAAGTATGCCGTTTTATGCATGTGCTACTCAGGTCTGTTGCTTTATCACATTTTCTGTTTGGGAACTATTTCTGCTCTCTGTCATGGCATACGATCGGTACGTGGCCATCTGTAACCCTTTACTCTATGTAGTTCTCATGCCACGGAAACTCTGCATTCAGATGGTCACTAGCACATATATTTATGGCTTTACCGTGGGAGTTGTACAGGTGGCGGCTACGTTCCACATGTCTTTCTGTGACTCTAATTTGGTCAACCAGTTCTATTGTGATGACGTGCCCTTGATTGCTTTGGCATGTTCTGAAACCCAGGTCAAAGAGTTGATGTTGTTAATTATCGCTGGATTCAACGTGTTTTGCTCTCTTATCATCGTTCTCATCTCCTATGTCTTCATTCTCGTTGCTATCCTGAGGAGCCAGTCTGCTGGAGGAAAACAGAAAGCCTTCTCGACCTGTGCTTCTCACCTATTTTCAATTACTATATATTACGGGACCTTAATATTTATGTACCTTCAGCCCAAGTCAAGCCATTCACTGGATAAAGACAAATTTGCCTCAGTGTTCTATGCAGTGGTGATCCCCATGCTAAATCCATTAATCTATAGTTTGAGGAATCGAGAGGTAGAAAATGCACTGAAACGAGTTATGGGGAAAAATGTATGATCCATTATGCATTGTGATCTCACTGACATAAGAACAAATTTAAATGCCAAGGGGTATTGATTGTACCTCATCTGGTACCTGAAATACCCTAGTGAACTTTTTTCAGGAAATTGAAAATATGCCATTTTTATGTAAGTGCTACCCAGGATCTGCTGCTTTATCAATGGTACAGTTTCCCCCAGTGCTCAGTTTTCTAAAATCTGATTCCTTGGAAACAAGTATTTTTCTTGCCCCTTGTTTTACCTTTTGTGATTTACACGTAGTAGCCTTTCTTAAATGCATATTCAGTTGCTGAATTCTAAAGTAGAACAAAGAAATATTGGCTTGGCTATCAGATGTTACAAGAGAGTTGAGGCACACAGCTTCATGAAATAATGGATTTATCTTTTTTTTTTTTTTAAACATTTTATTAGGGGCTCATACAACTGTTATTGCAATCCATACACACATCAATTGTGTAAAGCGCATTTGTACATCATTCTCAAAACATTTTCTCTCTACTTAAACCCCCGACATTAGGTCCTCATTTTCCCCTCCCTCCCTGCTCCCCCCTCCCTCATGAATGCTTGATAATTTATAAATTGGTATTTTGTCATATCTTGCCCTGTCCGACGTCTCCCTTCACCCACTTTTCGGTTGTCTGTCTCCCAGGGAGGAGATCACATATAGTTCCTTGTAATCGGTTCCCTCTTTCCTACCCATTCTCCCTTTACCCTCCCTGTTTCGCCACTCACATCACTGGTCCTGTAGGGCTCATCCGCCCTGAAGTCCCTGTATTTTCAATTCTTATCTGTACCAGTGTACCTCCTCTGGTCTAGCCAGACTTGCAAGGTCGAATTCGAGTCATGGTAGTGGGAGCGGGGAGGAAATATACAGGAACTAGAGGAAAGTTGTATTTCTCATGTTATATCGCACCCTGACTGGCTCATCTCCTCCCCGAGACCCCTCTGCAAGGGGATCTCCAGAGTCCTACTAATGGGCTTTGGATCTCCACTCCGCACTCCCCCCATCATTCACTATGGTAAGATTTTTTGTTCTGATGATGCCTTTTACCCGATCCCTTTGACACCTCATGGTTGCATAGGCTGGTGTGCTTTATCTTTTTTTCACTCTCATTGGCCATCCACTACATGTGAATACCAATTTACACCTGATTGTCTCAAATGTTTAATATGATAGACTATATTTATTTATCCAGAAGAAAGAGTGTATAGATTATCATACCAATGACCAGGGCTGCATTTAAGCCATTGGAAGTTATTATTCTCTCTGACACGGCAGTTTAAGAAGGCAGTTCCATATGTAAACTATGTATTTATTCAATGCAGTAGTGTCTTCCTGAGGATTAAAAGATAGTAAATAGCTCTAAATATCAGATTAAGGTATGAAGAATGACATTCTAGAAAACAGAAGAGAAAATAATGTCCATCCGCAAGGTATATCTTCTAATCCTTGTTTTGCAAACTTCCTATGCTATAGCTAATTTTCAGTAGCTAAACATTTATAATAGCATGCTATGGGCCCATTTCTCTTCCCCCAAATTCACTGTTCTTGTACATCTGTTACTCTCCATACCCTAACCAACCCTCCAGGCCTACTGACCTGTCTATGAATCAACATGTTTCACTGCCTCAGGACAGAAGTTCTGTATATAAAATGTACTGTCAGATGTTCTACCAACCGGAATGTTGTAACTAAGTAAAGATGAAAGGAGACACCAGTTCATGGCTAACATGAATAGTTCTTACATAATATAACAACCATCTGGACATTCCTTCTCACTGCTACCAAGTCAATTCCAACTCATAGTGATCCTGTAGGCCAGAGGATCAGTGCCCCAGTGGATTTCCAAAATTGTAAATCTTCACAGGAGTAGAAATCATTCTCGGAGTGGTTGGTGGTTTTGAACTGCTGAACTTGTGTTTAACAGCCCAATGTGTAACCCACTATGTCACCAGGGCTCTATCCATATAATACCCCATTACTTGGTTGTAGAGAATCCCTAACCCGTGCATACATGACATAGATCAAAAGAAAGAACTATGTGCAACAAACAACGCTTGAGAGATAGGCAGTATAAACATCTGAACTTCCTGTCTATATAAGGTATTTACATAATCCTGAAAATAAACTTTGTGGTTTTCATAGAGGAAAGGAAGTTTAAAATATCTTTCCTAAACAATAAGTGAATAGATTTCTCAGACTCATAGCATTGTGTTCAGGTTGGCAATTGTCTTTAAGCTTTCTGGAAATTGGATCACCTCTCTGTAGAAAAACTACATTTAGCATAATCATTTAAAATTAATAAGAAATAAAAAGTACAAAAAGGTACAGTGAATTTTGTAAAACTTCTGGTCAAGACATTTTTCTGAGATTATTAAATCCTTGATACCAAAAAGGAAAACCAAAATCAGTGGTACCGAATCAATCCAAATTCACAGGGAGAGTAGAAGTGCCCCATCAGGCTCTCTGTGCTGTCAGCTTGGGAGCAGCGGATTGCTTCATCTTTCAAACACAGAGCAGCTGGTTGAGTTTTTCTAGTTATCAGTCAAGCACCTAGTCGCTATTAAACCCTGGATGGTCATATTAAAGCCTCAAAGAATAATATTTCTTTGGTTAAGTATTCATATTTAAAAAATTGGTGCCCGGCTATTGAGACCTATAGCGTCTGGGGACTTAAAGGCTTGAAAGTAAACAAGCGGCCATCTAGCCCAGAAGTGACAAAGCCCACATGGAAGCAGCACACCAACATGTGTGATCATGAAGGGCCAAGGGGACCAGGCTTCAAACACCAAAGGCGGGGAGAAAAATCATATCCTTTTCAATGAGGGTGGTGTGTGATGGGGACCCAATGCCCATCTCTAGACAACTGGACATACCTTGCAGAGGGGTAGTGGGGAGATGAGTCACTTAGGGTTCAGTATAGCAGTAATGAAACCCACAACCTTCCTCTAGTTCTTAAACGCTTCCTCCCCCCAATTACCAGGACCCCAATTCTGCCTTGATGACCTGGTTAGACCAGATGATGTGCAACGGTACAGATGGGAATTGGAAACACAGGGAATCTAGGACAGATGAACCACTCAGGACCAGGGGTGACAGTGGCGATACCAGGAGGGAAGGGGGTGTAGAAAGGGGGAATGGATCACAGGGAGCTACATATAACCTCCTCTCTGGGGGATGGGCAGCAGAGGGGTAGGTGAAGGGAGACACCGGGCAGTGTAATATAAGATATAATAATAATTTATAAATTATCAAAGGTGCATGGGGGAGGGGAGCAGAGGAAGGGAGGGGGGGGGAAGGAAAATGAGCTGATTCTGGGAACGGGAACACAAGAGGCAAGCGAATTTTGGGAATGATGAGGGCAACAAATGTATAGATATGCTTTACGCAATTGATCTATGTATTGTGATGAATTTTATGAGCCCCAATAAATTGATTAAAAAAAAAAAGATTGGTCCTGTGTGTGTTTTTCCTAGGTGCTCTCAGCAATATCTTGTAAGGCATCTCCCTCAGGCAATGCTACAGATGTACTCCCCACCTGGCATTTAAGCTTGAACAGGTTGGTTAATTTGCTCAGTTGTGAGTTTTTTTTACTGATTGTGGATGAATACCCTCAGCTGGGGGTGGGGGGATCTATTGACTGGGGTGGCTCAATCGTTTCTAGGGGCTCAAGATCCTCCTCTTCTGGATCATCAGCCCATATGTTCCCATGCCATGTTTCAGGGTCCCAACTTTTTCCTATCAATGCCCTTATTAGATATTGCTGAGAGCACCCAGGAAACATCCTTACCACCCATTATTTCTGTTAGACCTGTACCTAAAATTAAGATTCACAGAACTCCTAAAGGTGTAGTTGATATGATTACTCAGGAAGAAGCACGCTACACTCACAAAAATCTGCTTGCATTTTTTATACATACAAGCAGAAGCCTGGAGAATATCCCTGGGAATGGTTACTAAGGGTGTGGAATACTGGTGCAAGAAATGTAATATTAGACAAGTCTGAGTTTCTGGATATGGGACCCCTAAGCACAGATTCTTCTTTCAATGTCTCAGCGAGGGAGGCTAAGAGAGGATCTAATTCCTTATTTGGTTGGTTCTCTGGTCTCTTGTTCTCTGATGGTCGGACCAGTGTGAGGCTGCCTTAGTTGGCAAGGCTCACTTCCTGTGAGACATCCCTGAGAAGCAGCCACATGGACCTACCCTAAAGCAGCCCTGGGTGCTGGAGCAGCCGTGTGAAGGCCCCTACCAGCGCTGACATGCTTACACGCTCACTGATTTGTTTAAAAAACAAAAAAGAACCTTCCATTAATCCCACATGTGTTTATCAGCCAGGTTGGCACAATAAACTTGAACTATCACACTCACACTCATCTAGTGAAGTACAGTGAACAGGAAGTTTCTCTTTTAAGCTCGCTGAGACAGAATGCTCTTTAGTCAGTTCCAACTTATAGTGATCTTTCTGGTAGAATAGCTCCACCAGGTTTCCAAGACCGATCTTGATGTATGGTGTTGGTTAAGAGTACTGACTATACCATGGATCCTCAGAAGGAGGAACAGATCTATCTTGGAAGAAGTAAAGCTATATTACTTCTTGGAAACCCTATTGGTAAGGCTTTAGCTCTACACTTTTAAAATGTTTATTGTGCCAACTAACTAGCACTTCACAACAAAACAATAATTTTTAAAGAAGCACACTGACACTTTTTTCTTTGACAGAGTGACTGGTAGGTTTCAATCAACCTTTTGGTTAGCAGTGCTTAACTGTTGCACCACTAGACGTCTTAAACCTGCTTGAAAACCTGATAATTCATTCAGATCATAAGATTCTAAAATAATCTAATTGCAGTACATTCTAATTATTGGGAAATTAGGTACAAATATGAGAATGATCACTTTGCATTGCAAACTCCAAACTGTATCTTACATAATGACAGCAAGTCATTATTATTGCTAGGGCAATTTCAACCTATAGTTCCTTGATTTGACAAAGTAGAATAGCCCCTTAAGGTTTCCTGAGCTGTACCCTTTAAAGAAAACAGTCATGTCTCTAGGGCTTTGTCACCAGGAGCTGCTGAGAAGTTTAAACTACAGACCACTGGGTTAGCAGCTAAGCATGCTATATAGTTACATGTTATCAAGTCTGCCATACCACCTCCTGAAGTAATTTGATAGTAAAATGATATTTAAAAACTCACTGATTATTATTTTATGAAATGTCAAAATAGTGAAAGCACCTCAAATGACTAATTTTTAATTACATGTAATGATCTTACAAGGATGATTGATTAAGTAGCAGGCAATGGTAAATGACATTATAATCTAAGATAATTTCTATTTAAACAAATAAGAAAACTTAGATCTTTAAAAATCCACATTTTATAACTCACATTTTCCCAATTATTTTTATTTCCTTCACTCCCATTGAGTTGATTTGAATTTGTAGAAACCTTATAGGACAGAATACAACTGCCCTGTAGATTTCCAAGACTGTAAACCTTAATGGAAGTAGAAAGTCTCTTCTTTCTCCCGAGGAGAGGGTGCTGCTTTAGAACTGCTGACCTAGTAGTGGTTTGCAGATCAACTCATAACCCCCTGCATCAGAACTAATGAAATTATATTTGTTTTTAAAAATCTGGCAATGACATGTTTAAATATGGATACTTTTCTACATCAGAATACGCTTTATTTTTAACACCTATAGTGTTAAAAAATAAACAAAAGGTATAAATAATTATCATTCTGATAGTACATCTCACCAATATATTAGATTTGCTTGATTTGAGTAAACACAGCTATCCAAATAATTGACTGGCAAGTAGTAGAACCACAGTAGGCTTTATTCCTCTGAATTAAAGACAAATAAGTCTTGTGAGTTTGAAAGGCTAATCTTGAATTACATATGTCCAACACTCATTTGTGAACATCCACAGAACAAAGAGTTATAAGCACATCTTATAACTGAAATGTTTTTCTAAATATTTAATAGAGGAGCTTGTTTAGTCATCAGAGCAAAATAATAGACTGGGCTTTATTGTTTATTGGATACAGAGGGGCATACACTTTAAGTCAGTTACCCAAGAGTATATAGCTTATCAGGGAAGGACATGGATATTTAAACTTAAGCAGTCATTCTCAAGTCCCAAGTGCTAACCAATACATACTGCAATCTTTGCCTGGGATGCACATGGATTTGTACTTGAACACAGATTTGGTAGTCTGTAAGGGCTTGGTTGCCTGAACAAGACTCTTTACAACATACTGACTTTCCAAATGTGGTTCCGGCACTTGTAGATAATGTCATTGTCTGTTGAAATAATTGTCAACTCTTCAGTCAGGTTGGGGGGAAGTGATGAGAAATGTATGCAAGAGACCTTTTTAATCTATTTCCATTTAACACGGTATCTTTATTATCATTTTCTTAATTTCAAAATCTTTAAGGTTTCACAAGCTTTACCCAAGGCTTTCTTTGAGGCTTCTTTGACTTCTTTGTTCCTTAGACTGTAAATGAGAGGGTTCAACATGGGGATCACCACAGTATAAAAGACAGAAGCCATTTTGTCTGTGTCCAGGGAGTGGTTTGATTTAGGTTGTAGGTACATGAAGATTAGGGTGCCATAGAAAATAGTAACGGCCATCATATGGGAGCCACAGGTGGACATGACCTTACGTCGCCCCTGGTTGGAGCGTATCCTTAGGATGGCAGCAATGATAAAGATGTAGGAGATGAGAACAATCGACGAGGAACAGATCATATCGAAGCCAGCAAAAGCAAAGATCAGAATTTCCTTCACGTGTGTGTCCGAACAGGACAAAGCTAAGAGGGGAAGGTCATCGCAATAGAAATGGTTGATTACATTGGGCCCACAGTAAATGAGACGGAAGGTGATAATGGTATGGAAGAGGGCAACCAGAAAGCTATATATATATGGAACAGCGACTAATTGAATACAGACTCTTTTTGACATCAGGACTGAGTAATGCAGGGGACTACAGATGGCTACATAGCGATCATACGCCATGGAGGCTAAAAGGAAGCACTCGGTGATCATGAAGGTCAGGAAGCAGCCCAGCTGTGCTGCACAAGCGTGGAAAGGAATCGTGTTGCGTTCCACAACAAAGTTCACCATCATCTTCGGGGTGATGGCAGAGGAGTAACAAAGGTCTACAAAGGCCAGGTGGCTGAGAAAATAGTACATAGGTGTGTGGAGTCTTGTGTCAATCCTGATTAAGATAATCAATCCAATGTTTCCAAGAACTGTGACCAGATAGATAATTAAAAATATCACAAAACAGGGGGCCTGAAGCTCTGGCCGATCAGTAATTCCTTTGAGAATGAATTCAGTGACATACGTGATATTAGCAGCAGCCATTTATTCCTGTGGATGTTGCTGTAGTTGAATAAAAAATGGTAAACCTCATGATGACTGTCAGTGTTGAGGAAAGATGATTTATAGAGGTCTTGTCAACTTTGAATGATGTCACCAAGTGCAAGCAAGGGTGCCCTCTAGTTTCAGAATAATCATCTTAAATGTTATTTTTCTTTCTAATTTTAGAAAATAAGGCATGATCTTGGTTAAAACAAATATAATATTACCTAAATTGAACCACTCATTGATAGCAGCCACTGCTGTATCTCGGTGTATTTGCAACCACTGTCTTGCTTTTCCACACACATGAAAATATGATGGGAGTACTTGGGTGGTACAAATAACTCACACATCAGATTATGGAGCAAAATGTTGGAGGTCCAAATTCACACAGTGGTGCTCTGGAAGAAAAACCAGGTGATCTACTGCTAAAAAAATCCAGCCACTGAAAAGTCCGTGGGAGTTCTAATAAGGTCACTCACCATGAATCGGACACCAACTGGCTCTTTTCTTTACTTGCATATGGTACTTAAGCATATTCAACTTTTTATCAAAAAAGAGTCTTTGATTTTTATTACAACCATGAAACTGTGATTAGAATCTTACCTAGAGAAAATTATAGTGCTACCATATATAACATCATAGTAAAATCAACCACCTTGACTGAAAGACGGAGGCAGGGAAAGAAGTTGATGTGTAGTTGTCTTTTGTTTTGTTTTGTTTCGCATACAATGGCAACATACAAGTTTTTCTCCTACTGCTCTAATAAGACCTTACGGTTAATAGTGGACCCAAAGTGCTTGTCAAACCAAGTCAGAGGAAATGATGCAGAGAGACTAATCCATCAATTAAATAGATTTGTATCTACCAGAGTAGATATTTACTACTAAGTAAACTAAGTACTTAAGTAGCCATCATTGGTAGGACTAAAGGGGCACAGGAGGTAGCATATGCAGCTACAGTTGGAACCCCAGCAGCGATAAAAGGAAAAAGAAGAGAAACAAAGTACCTTGTAAGATTCCGAGAATTTGCCCATGAATTTTGAAAATTCAATGAAGCAATTCTACTCTGCATGCATAACTTTGCATTGAGGGCCTCACCAGGAATCAGAATCAATTCAATATCAACTAGCAATAGTATATACTTCTAGATTATTTTATGAATTCCTATAATTCTTTATCAATGATTTTCAATTACTTTACCATCCATGTGTCATCATCTATACAATCAGTTCACACCTTTCAATTTTGAGAATCACTTAAAAGCCTTGCTATATTGATGCCAGGTTGCCTCAGTAAGCACCGTCTTCTTTTCTGAATAGTACCTTTCCTAAACTCGACTTTGGCTAGCCAACTTGTACCAATTCAATGAGAAACTCTGAGGGGACAGTCTCCTCACTTCAGTAATTTTTTTAGAGCTTAGATGATTGCCAACCCATTGACACTCAATTGATTTTGACTCATAGTGATCCTATATGGGATTTCTGAGACAGGAAGTCGTTAGGGAGTATACAGCAATGTCTTTCTCCCTCAGAGTGTCTATTGCGGTGAACAGCCCAACAGCTGGCTCACAACACCAACATTGCTAACAAGTGTAAGGAGCTCTGATGGCACTGTCTGATAATATTTGGACTGCAATAACTCTGCCAACTTCTCCAGGGGAGAAAGACGCAGCTGTGTGCTTTCCTAAAGATTTACAGTCTCAGAAGCCCTATATAGGACAACTATGGGTTAAAATCCACTCTGTGACAGTGGGTTTTCCTAGTGATTGCAAAACACCACATTTGAGAACAATTTGTTAAGTGCTGTGAAGTCATTTCCAGTTGATAAAAACTCTACGTACAACAGAAAGAAACACCCCTTGGTCCTGCGCCGTCCTCACAATTGTTCTTACGTCTGAGCCCCTCAATGCAGCCACGGTGTCGATCACCTTGTTGAGATTCTTCTTTTTTTTTGTTGCCTCACTACCCTGGAGATGTCCTTCTCCAGGAACTGAGTTACTAAATTAAATTATGTAAATGGAAACCGGAGCTTAGTTACACCATCAAAATCATATTTATTTTTTGGGTTTATTTTACTTGCCTATGGAGCGATTAATTTGAGTACATAACTCCACTATGCCAATAAAATTATAATTGGAATATGCATACTACTGCCTGCATAAAAGGACACATAGGATTATACAGCCAAAGATGGTTTTATGGGAATCAATTTGTCAGTCATCCATATCCATATCTGCTTCTTTCTGAAACTAATTAGAAGGCACCTGTGGCCTTTGCAATTCACCTTCCCTTTTATAATCTGCCTTTCTTGTCCTTTGCAAAGGAAAAGCATGCTTCACACCAATAAGGAGCCTTACTATGCTCCCAAGTGTCCTAGAGATAAAAATATTTGAGGGTTAAACAATTGGGCAATTAGATGATTCCTTTCATCAAGTCTTTATAAATACAACCCTCAAGTCATCAAGAGTTAAATTTTAAGTAAAGGTTATTTTTTAAGCTTACTCCTTTGATCATTATAAGTCAGAATCAACTTGATGGCTTGAAGGATTTTGATTTTTTTATGATTATTTGTCAAAAGTGGAAAAGTGGATGTGTGTGGATGAGTTATTCCCTCACTATTACCACTACTACTACTCCTATATTTGTTTTGTTAAAAAAAAATCACTGCCATTGAGTCGATGCCAACTCAGTGACCTAAACAACAGGGTTTCTGAGACTGAAACTCTTTCCAGGATTGGAAAACCCCATCTCTCTCCTGCAAAGCCACTGGTGGTTTTGAACTGCTGACCTTTTGATTAGCAGCCCAAAAGATTACCGCTATGCCACCAGAAACCTCCATATATTTTTTTAATTTGTTTTCTATACATTTGCTTTATGTATGGGTAAAATATAAAGATAGATTTTGAGGGTAATGAAATGAAAATCCGGATTTATAAAAAAGGAAAAAAAATATACTCTCCAACTCTGAAAAAAAAATTCTGAGTGGCATAAACAGTTCGATTCTAAGCTACTATCCAGGAGGTAGACAGTTCAAATCCACCTGGAAGCAAATGGGAAGACAGACCTGGCGATGAGCTTCTCTAGTATCGCAGTCTAGAAACCTTGAGAAACAGGTGGACTCTACACGTATGGAGTCTTTAGGAGGCAGAATGAGAACCCTTGAGAAACAGGTGGACTCTACA